GTGTGTGTGTGTGTGTGTGTGTGTGTGTGTGTACTCATCACTAGTTGGTCTCTAGTTTACTTTCTCTGTTTGTATGGAAATTGAATGTTTTCACTTCCTACATGATGCAAAAAGACATGAAAAGTAGTTTTAACAGTATAATAGTGTACAGGAGTAGGGTGTGTGCTGCCTGCTCTGTGGCTGAACTCAACTGGGACTTTATACTATTATGATAAAAAATACATGGTGTGCATTTTTAGTTGTGAGCTGACAAATAATAAACAGGATCTACGTGGAAACTGGAAGCAGCAGTGCTGTGTCTGTCACTCTGAATGTCTGTGTTTATAGGAGAGGCTCTGGGAGCCATTGGTGATCCTGTGGTTCTGGACCTACTAAAAGAGTACAGCCAGGACCCTGTCATTGAGGTAAGAACATAACTCTTAGTCAGTGACATCAGGCTAGTAATACTTAAAACGCTTGAGACAGATGCAGGACAGACAGGCCATACATGTTTGACAGCTGTTTTTAAAGATGCATTCAACATGAAGCAGGTAAATACACACACACGCTCGTTACTGGGAGGGCGGAAATGTCTGCTTCAAAAACACTTGCATGGCTGAGTATCTCAAGAACCTTGATTACAAAAAATCATAGATTCAGATTCTTTGCCTCAAAGGTATTTCTCTCTGTAAAATATCAAACAGACAGTGGGGTGGTGGACAAGTTATGTCAACGATATGTTCCTGAACTCTGTGTAATACTGACTACTGCATCAGCTCTAACACACCCGATCTTGGATCAACCATTTTTGCCTCTTATAACAAAACCGTCTAAGAAGAAGAAAGGTTATTTTCTTAGTTTTAAATTATATACACTTTCTGTTATAAAGTAATTAGAAGTTATTGTATTTTTTTATCTTTTTGTTTTAGCATTTCATAAAATGTTCAGCAAACCAAGTGGCACTTAAATGCACTAAACAGGTTTAGTTTGGGCAGATATTTATGCAATTGAGCCAACAAGAATGTTGATTGTCTTAAAGGTAACCACTTAGTTGTAAGTTACTTCTCTTTTGTATATTTACTATTGCTACTCGCATCTATTGCTCTTCATCAGTGGCATCAGGCTAGTTAATACTTGAAACACTCAAAAGATTCTTATTTAAAGAAAATTCGCCAAAAAAAAAGTGTTCACTTCTAAAGCTCATTTCCAATATGTGCCAGCGAGTAGGCAAAGAAAACATTTGTTTCCTTTGGCAAAGCAAATCCCCAGCATGCCTTTGTGTGTATTTCAACTTTGGTGAATTTTGACCTGGGGGATTCGGCCGCATCCATGTTAATCTGGGTTGTTAATTTTGGTGAAGTCATTGAAAGTGTAATTAGACAAGGATCCACCAAGATGCATGTTACAGACACCATTAATGAAAGATACATGTTCCTAGTTTTCATCATGTGTCTTTACATTTAAATCTCTGTGTGTTTTCTCTTCCTATTTTAAATGTTCAATTACTCATCCTGCTCTCAGGGATGTAAACTCACTTTGCATCAAATGGAAATGCAATGTCGTGTCCCTCCCTCCCTGCAGGTTGCAGAGACGTGTCAGTTGGCTGTTCGCCGCCTGGAGTGGCTGCAGAGTAGAGGAGAGAAACAGTTGGAGGATGGAAGTACCGATAAGAACCCCTACTTATCTGTAGACCCAGCGCCCCCATCAGTGAACAAAAGTGTGTCAGAGCTGCGCTCTGTCCTGCTGAATGAGAGTCTGCCACTCTTTGAACGCTACCGCGCTATGTTTGCCTTGCGAAACCTTGGCAATGAGGAGGCTGTCCTGGCACTGGGAGATGGTAGGATACAACACTTGACACTGCAGTTTTTTACACTGCATGCATTCAAAACAACGCAAGTGTAACACTAGACCTTTTTAACTTTTGGTCATTTTCATGGTTCAATTTTAAGCTTCATTCTTCAACCTGTGAAACTGATTCAATGCAAAATGGGGGGAAAAGGCAGGACGTCTTTATTGAAAAGACTACACAATGTTTAGAGAGGCTTTTGAGACATTCACATCATTCTACACACTATGGTCCTGGATCATGTGTGTGTTGCACAAGTGTTGTTGGTTTTAAATAGTAGTAAATGGTCAGTAAAGTGTCAAATCTCAGCATGTCACTGTAAATAAATACATCTGCTTTATAAACATGCATAGGTTTTTCATGATTTGTTTTTAAATGAAATTGTGAAAAATGTGTTGGAAGTGATGATGTTCACAATTCATCACAAATTATGAATTGAGTTTATATCTAAGCTGATGGACATATGGTAGCAGCATAGGTTTCAGCTGATAACAAAGAAATTGCAGCCCAGAAATGCCAAACCAAGTTTGCGCTTATTTAGAAATGGTGTCACCATCACAGTTTGTTTTTCCACCATAACCACTTACATCCTGATAAAAAAATATCTGATGATGACATTTTTAACTGTATATGTGCTCCAAAACTCCAGTATGGGTTAGTCTGTGATAGGTTTGAGGCTCTGATGTGTAACAGAGTGAACACAGGGCCATGATGATTTCATGATTTGTGACATGTTCCCAGGAGAGTGCATGACAATAGATATCGACTGCTTTTTTTTGGTTTCCTCATGTTTTTTTGATCTATGCTTGTATGAATGTATGACATGTAGGAACCCTGCATGTCATAGGTGCCTTCTGCTCTCTCAGCATCTCAGAAGAGCTTTGTAATGATCAAACCTGTGTTGACTTGTTACGTCCGCTGCATAAAGAATAACTTGAGTGACGTCTTTGTCTTCAGGCCTGCAGTGCTCTAGTGCTCTGTTCCGTCATGAGATTGGTTACGTCCTGGGTCAGATGCAGCACCCGGCAGCAGTACCGGCCCTGAGCGCAGCCCTGGAGTCCCCCGGTGAGAACCCCATGGTCCGGCACGAGGCGGCAGAGGCCCTTGGCTCCATCGGCAAAGAGGACTGTCTGGCTGTGCTGCAGCGCTATCGTAGAGACAGAGAGCGCATAGTCAAGGAGAGTTGTGAGGTCGCGCTTGATATGCTTGAGTACGAGAACAGTAACGAGTTCCAGTACGCAGATGAACTGGTGAAGCTCCAGGGATAGAGGGTTAAAGGTCAGTGTCACAACTGGAGGGGCTTTCACCCAAATCTGTATATTTATAACCATATACAACAGAGACCTGGATTAATGGCTGCATCTGTAAAACTCTTGGATTCTGTGAGATGAGACTTTACAGCATAAAATCTAAAATCAAAAAATGAAAGTTCAAGAGCTCCGACTAATCAGATATGATTAGTGAGCTCTTGTGTGTGGCGACGGTGTTGCTATGTCCCTCGAAGATACTGCATTCTGATGCTGCAGTCGTGGGGTTCTTCTGCATTTTCTCATTTGTTCTTTTTCTAATGGCCGACAGTAAAGCACATCATCTATGGACCGCAAGTGTGTTTTTGTGTTGTGTTTGACAACTTTAATTTTATTTCACAACTCATCGAGAAGTGTTTTGGATTGTTTGCCTCTACACAATATACTTATCTGCTATCATTTACAGTTTTGTGGAAACTATATAACCACAGGGTTGAAGCCTTAAAAGAGCGATGTGACATTTTCATCTGAAGAGCTTTTTCTCCATCTGGGAGTTGTATGTTTTATGTTTGTATAGTTCTAGGTTGCACCATTGTATGATCAGGCCTTATGTCAGTGCATTCTGCTGTAACTAATCAGGACAAGTCAAATACAAACAAAAGACTAATCAGCTTCTCAGGGTGTTGGTGAGTACGCAGCCACCATCGTAGGAAGAGTTCATTCTCAACTGTATTCTGATACAGAGGTTATCGTCTCTCATGCTCCTCTAGTTGCTTTGTTACGAGATGACTGTGGAACACAGGTTGTAATTTTAATTTTTATCTCTTATTCACAGTCCGGTGTGTATATGTAAATTAAAATTATTCTCTGAACTTTTTTTTAACCCATAGATATTCATTCATATATCTGCAAACTGATCAGCTATTTTTTTTTTTTTTTTTACCTGGGCAGGTTGATGTCACAGTTGATGTTTATGAACATATACTTTGAGAGAAGTGACCTGAACAGGGGCATATATATATCACGAGGGAGACGAGGGGTTCCGGACTCCCCCATCCTGGGAATAAATTAGTGTTACATCTCTATAATAGTTAACTAAAAACAAATGATGTGTCAGACATGTTGCTTTAATTCTATGACTCAATAGTTCGCTCAAGTGTGACAAGAACATAATGGTGGATCTATGGTGGGCAGTGGAGAGATGGATTGTGCTGCTGCCGTAATTCAAGATCTTTCCATGAACAGAAAACCCTGGAATCTACTGAAATGTGGAAGCTGTCTGAAACTAAGCCCACCACATTTTCCCTGTTGTTGTAAATTGATATATAAATATCTATATATATATATATATATATCAATTTACAACATTAAAACAAACAAACCCAAAAATCAAGAGGTTGTTAATAAACATTTTATTCACATTTAAGTGTGTGTTTCATTTTGACTTTGGATTCCTTTGGCCTCAGCATTTTCTATGTCAGACTAAATTGCTTCATTTTGTTCAGCAGCCGCTACTGGCTATGCTTCCAATTTTTCTTCTCCTTTTCCTCTGTTCTCTTTCAGTCTGTTCCTTTACTTGCATTATTTTTCCTTCCCTAACTCTCTGTTTTCTTCTCTGCCTCTCCTGTCTTAGAAATTCTTTTTCACTTCACTTCTGTTTGTGATTTTGTGATACTCTGTTCCTCCTACATCCCTCCAGTGGCAGATGTTGCCTAGCTGTGCTGGACTAATCACACATATGTTCCTGTACTAGAGAGTGTGTCTATGTACCATCACTATAATGTGTGTCATCAGCACCATGTTCCTTCAACTAAACCCTGATAGAGTTGATGACTATCAATTCACAAAAGCAATATAAAAAATGCTGATGCCACATATTTAGTATATTAGACAAACTTATAATCTATTTCTATATTTGACTCGGAAGCCTTCCCATTGAATGTCAACTCTGTAATTCACCCATCACCACTGTCAGACAGAAAATCTGACGGTGTTGGGCAATAGGCATTTTGTTCACAAAAGAAATAGTTCATGTAGCAGCCGTTTTCTTTTCAGCTTGATGGTAGATGCTAACAGAATCTACTTCAGGAGGATGGAACGATCTTACCTTTTTAAAAACTTGACATATGGTTGTAACAGGAAATATTAACATTAGGATTTAAAATAGTATAAAACTATAATACTTATTTGACCCTGTCTGCCATGGATGCACTCTGCATAGGTGGAATATGAAAATGGATCCTTCAGAGTAACAGATTTTAATGAATGTTGACAAAAAGTGGGGACACAACTTTGAAACCTTATGAAATATGCATGTGTCATTGACAATCAACTTTGCTCTGATATGAGATACTAAGTTTTTCTTTTTATGAAACAAGCTCTTTTTAATATTAAAAAATATTCTACCCATTTTATTGCACATGAAGGATTGCACCCTTCTGTTTCAGATGTAGTGTCATAGATCTGATATAATGATGATTACATTTAATTTGAGGGGATGATTGTGTGGAATACATTCTATCATTAATCCCTCCTAACATCTACAGTTGAAGATATTTTCATTTTTAAACCTAATAGTTTGGATTGATGGTCTTGTGTTTGTCCCATGTCTCAAGAATCAGTGATATATATTCATTCACCATCTTCTATTGCTTTTTATTGAGTTTAAAAGCCAATGGCTGCAGCCTCTAGATGTATTGACAACTGGTTTATGAGATTTATGATGGATTGTGTGCCACATACACTATATGGACCAAGGTATTGGGACACCTACACATTACATCTACAGGAGCTTTTCTGAAGTCCATTTCTAAAACCATAGGCATTAATGTGGAGTTGTCATTGTATGAGCTTCCACTCTTCTTGGAAGGCTTTCTACAAGATTTTGGAGTGTGTCTGTGGGAACATTTGCCCATTCATCCAGAAGAGCTATTGTGAGGTCAGACCCAGATGTTGAACGAGAGGGCCAGGCTCCCAATCTCCGTGCTGGGTCCCCCCGAAGGTGTCGGATGGAGTAAAGGTCAGCGCTCTGTGTAGGCCAGTCTAGTTCTTCCACACCAAACTCAGTCAACCATGGCTTGATGGACCTTGTTTTGTGCACTGGAAAGTTGGAAGCATAGAATTGTCCGTAGGCAGTATTAAGATTTCCCCTACTGGAACTAAGGGGTCTAGTTTAGCCAATGGCAATGGGACTGAATGAAACACCTGAATACTTTTGTCCATGTAGTGTAGCAGTTGATGTGAACATCCTAAACCTGTCAGCTGGAAGAGTTTTTGAGGATGTTCAGGAATTCAAAGATCTGTGGAATGATGGTAAATAACAGATACAGAAGGTTGGTAACACTTTATATTAGGGAACACTTATCAACCATTGACTAGTTGCTTGTTGGAATGGATATTAGAGGCATATTGGCTCTTTATTAGTCATTATAAATTACTGATTAATGCCTTATTCTTAATGACCTTATTCTGCAACTACTCCATTGATTAACAGTTTTCCCATAATAACCTCCTAATTACTGCTTATTGATGGTAGGTAACAAAGTTGTTGTACATGAATTACAATCAAGTGCTTGGATATGTTCACTTTGTGTGTTCCCTAACATAAAGTGGTACCAACATTTCAACAGAGGGAAAGGAAGAAGTGGCTTAACTGTGATGATATAGTTCCAGTGTGGACAGTGAATACATTTTGCCTTTCAATGACCCATCCACGAATGTAGTAGTTCGTGAGGGAGCCAAAAACCCACAATAGCAACAGCAGGATTCCCAAGGTTCAGAGCATGAGGTATACAGTCAGGGGAAATATTCAGTTACCCTAAAAGCAATCAAATTAATAAAATCACAAAACAGTTTTCATGTTCTTCTCAGGATGCAATTCATTGTTTTTAAAAAGATCCTGCTGGGTCCAGAATAAATTTTAATTATTAATGAAATTATGCCCAGTAAAATTCTGCATCTACAGGCTTAGAGGCCAGAGACTGAAAATCATATAGATCTAGAGATGACAGAATTTGAGAGACAGAATTTGTCCTGTAAAATCAACTCTCATGGTTGCCTGGTCTACTGAGAGCAAGTGTTTGACAGCACCAGTAAGATTTACACATTTTATGAGTCTCCAAATTTTTTTATCTCACCTTTAAATTACTGTTTCACATGATGCTCTATATTCCATTGTGTCGCAAAGGGCACTTTTAACGGAACTATGTTCCATCATTTGGGGGGTAGAAGATGAAAGGATGGATCGCTGGATGCATTTTCAATCTGCCTACAAGAGACAAAAAACATTGTTCCGGTAAATCTTATTTGGTATGATTTTTAAATAGGTGTTTATAATTGGCTATCGCTGGAAAAGAGTGAGTTGAGATATTATAAGTGTATGTTCATGACAGCAAGTTGCAAAAAGTGACCTTGACTGGATAGTGTATTGGATACGGCCAACAAGGACAGACCCTTCTCAAAATGTATTTCCCTGCATTAAAAAGTATAAGGTATTAACAGGCTGCAGTTATAGCAGATTTTAGAGTTTTCTCTTCCCCTCACTCAGTTTTAGTCTCTCTGTATGTGATGACACAAATATTTACATTCAAGTGTAGACCACCTATGCTGCACACAGACTTTTATCTAAAACACGTAACAAAGTGTGTCAATTACCCTCAGCAGGTTCTAACAGATGAGTGACGGGCACGGTGCCACTTGAGCCATTTAGCTGTTACCTTGAGATGACATGACATGCTTTCATCAACTACCTAATGACTGACACCAACACACACACACACACACACACACANAAGTAAAAAAAAAAAAAAAAGAAAAAAAGACCACAGTGTCACACAGCATCCCAAATCATATACAGTATATCATCCCATTGTATACTTCACTACCTCCAGAGGGCGCAGTGCTCCCAGCAACCGCTCCACCGCTACAGTAACCATAGCAACCCGTGCGGTTTGTCTCCACGCCGCCTCGCTGTTCTCCAGCGTTCATGGCCGACGCGAGAAATAGTTCCGGAAACAAGTGAAGCAAACGCAGTGGGTGAAGGATGGAGGGAAAGCAGAGCAGCGGCAGCAGCGAGCAGAGGCTGCAGGCAGCTGCCATGTTAAAGACCGTCATGTTGAAACAGAGCACGAGGAGCGGCCTGAACCTGTGAGTACCGCGCGTCACGGCGTCAGCTCCTGTTTGCTACAACCTGTGAACCTCATGTCAACAACCGTGCCAGCACATTAGCAGGATTGAAAACACTGCAGAGGTTTCTCCCAAAAAAATACATATTTCAATACCTGAACAATCGTCAACTGTGTAATTCAAAATTCTGATGGGGTTAAAGGTTCTGCTTCGTGTGAGAGTCCTCTCCAAGAGGCAGGGCTCCTCTCCCTCCTCTGCTGTAATCTGGATGACTGTGCTGAGCATTGACAACAGAGATCAGAATCAGAAGTACTTTATTAATGCCCGTAGGGAAATTCAAATGTTACAGAGCCCCTGAGAAAGAGGTATAAACATAGCAATATAAAATTTAAAAATCAAGTAAGGCTAAAAGAAATAGAAGATATACATGTTTAGAAATAAAGACCGGGTATGTATAGATTTACATTTGTGCATGAGTAAGTTAAAGTAAAAGTATACACAGTATACATTATTAATCTTTATACTTTACAGGTTGCCATTGTACAGTTTGACAGCAGGAATGATTTCCTGTGGCGTTCTGTTGAGCATTTGAGAAACAACAGCAAATACTGCAATGTGTTGCTTGAACAATGTAAACAGTCCGTCTGTTTTCAGAAGTGCAGATTATTTTCTATTGATTGATTTATCTATTAATCCAGTTACCTAGTTGTACTGCAGTGTTAAAGCTTTTTCTCAGCAGAGGTGTTGTTATGAACCAGGAAACCTGCTGCACGCAAACTGATGGTTGTCAGCAGTAACTCAGATCCACCGATTCTGCACAGTGACGTCAGTCTGAAGCAACACTCACTGAACTGGAAATGGAAACGAGGGAAAACCTGTGTTTGACTGACATTTCAGTAAAGCTGAATACAAATATGTGTGTATAATTGATTATAAGTGTTTTATCAAAACATTTACTCAGTTTTACGACAAACGCTAACAGAGAGAGCCATGTAAATACAGTAAACATACAGAATACCACTTCCTGAGTAAACAGTAAATGGTATTTTAAATGTGAGAATTACATTTCTCTGTGCTTATTCTCTGCAATGACCAATGGATGGTCCAATGCTCAGGAACTGGTGTCGTCCTTTATGTTTCAGCTATGACCACCTGACCCAGTTACTAATAAAGGTGATGGATGAGCAGCCACAGGATGTGGTGGACGTGATCGAGGATATAAGTCATGACGTGAAGCGGGCTTTGTTTGAAGACAAGCAAAGCACCCTTCGAGACCTTCCACGGACTACAGCTGCTGAGCTGCTGGCAGAACAGCAACGTCCACTGTTTTCTCGGCCAGAGGACGCTGAGCAGGAGGATGAGCTGGTATTGGCTTCATGCAACTAAATTGTACATTTGTGTTATTGGTTTGAAGGTGAAATGGCATTTAGTTAAATTTGTAACCATTTTTAGACATCCAGTGACACCATGTTACATACTTTCATTGGTGGCAGGTGGCAGAAACTTGACACAATTACTAATTCCCTCCACCAAGCAGATTATATTTTAACCAATGTCTGCTTTTTGTTTTCTTTGTTGGTTGGTTTATATTAGACTGTATATCTCATTTAAACCATGTGGCCTTGAGGAACTGAAATGAATGTTCCTCTACCTTGTTTAAGCTGCTGCCACTGAAACTGTAACCCTCTCTACAGAGGCTGCCATGTTTTTTTACAGTAGTTCAAAGTGGACAAACCAAACAGCTTTTGGGTTTGTATGACAACTGAAGCTACCACAGGTTCTCCTTCATGTTTGATAAAATAAGATAAGATAATCCTTTATTAGTCCCACAATGGGGGAATTTGCACTATTACAACAGCAAAAGTCAAAAACTGGCATCAGTAAGTACTAATAAGTAACATGCAACATTTAAGTGTAAGGAAATCTGAAAAATATAGAAAAATATGAAAGGGGAGGGTGAGGGGAGAGGTATTCAGCTGCAACGTGCAACTTCCCCACAAGATATCACTAAATCTTACACAGTGAATCTTAAACATTAATTAGAAATACACAACAAAAGCAAGTATGTCT